TGCATGCGAGTCTTAAAGGGTGCGAATTTGTTATCAACGTTGCCTCCCGGCCACCCCCTCCTCACCCAGTCGAGCACCTGGGCGAGCGCTTGGTCTGCCTTGGTTTTAGCGGCGATGTCAAGGGCGGTGATGGGCAGGTCCAACTGGGTGATTTCGAAAATGGCGTTGACAGGAGCTGGGTCTTCAGCCGGAGCGGGTAAGGGGCAGCGACTGAGAGCGTCGGCGTGGGATAGAATTTTGCCCGGGCGGTGAATAAGTTTGTATGAGTAGGCCGCTAGGAAAAGTGTCCACCTTGTCATCCTAGGGGAAAGGACTTGAGGTGTCTGTTTGTCGCCGGCCAGTAGGCCCAGGAGGGGCTTATGGTCGGTGACCAGTTCGAAGAAGGGGCCAAAAAGGAATTCGTGAAACTTTTTCACGGCCGCAACAGCTGCTAGGGCTTCCTTGTCTATTTGGCTGTAGTTTCGCTCCGTGGCCGAGAGCGTCCTGGAGAAAAAGGCGATGGGGGCCTCGGCGCCATTGGGGAGTCTGTGACTAAGGACCGCCCCAATTCCAAAAGGGGATGCGTCTGCTGCCAGTACTAAAGGAAGGTTGGGGTCGAATTGGATGAGCACTGCCTCTGACGTAAGTAGTGATTTGACGGCGTTAAACGCCTGGTCTTCTTTGTGCCCCCAGTGCCACGGTGACTTTTTGTCTAGTAATCTGTGTAGGGGTTCGGCTACTGAGGCTTTATGGGGCAAGAAGGATGCATAAAAGTTCAGCAGCCCCAAGAAAGCTTGTAGCTCCGTTTTGGAGGTTGGTGTGGGAGCTTCGTGGATTGCCCTAACCTTGGACTCCAGGGGGTGAATGCCAGAGGCGTCAATTTTATAACCCAGAAAGTCCACCTGTCTAGTGGCAATGGCGCATTTTTCTTTTTTTAACTTGAGGCCATGCTGTCTGAACCTCTCTAACACTGCTCGCACTCTCTGGAAGAGTTGGGGTCTGTCCCTGGCCGAGACCAAGATGTCGTCGAAGTAGGGTACTACACCAGGGAGGCCCTGTAAAATCCGCTCCATGAGGGATTGAAAAATACCCGGGGCAACACTTACGCCAAATTGGAGACGCTTGCATCAGAAGGCACCCCTGTGAGTGACGATGGTCTGAAGTTCCGCTGTTTGGTTATCAACAGGGAACTGCTGATATGCTTGAGACATGTCCAATTTAGCAAAAATACTGCCCGGCTCGAATGTGTGTAATAAGTGCTGAATGACGGGCACAGGGTAGGCGCTAACTTGTAAATATTTATTGATTGTTGTCTTGTAGTCCGAGCAAATTCTCAGGCTACCATCTTTTTTGAGGGGTGTGACAATGGGCGTCTCCCACTTGGCGAAATCTGTTGGCTCAATGACCCCTTGTTTTAGTAGTTTATCCAATTCAGCGTCTAGTTTTGGTCGAATAGCAAATGGAACTCTACGTGGTTTTAATCTGATTGGGACTGCCTGGGGGTCAACGGTGAACGAGATGGGGGTTCCATTATAACACCCCAGCTCCTCGCTGAACACATCTGCGTAGTCAGCGAATAAGGAGTCAGTGTCTGAGGTTGAGACAGCATGGACTCCTGTTAACCCTAGGCCGAGGTGGGGAAACCAATCGAGCCCCAATAAGGTGGGTAGATTGCCGTTAACTACCACTAGAGGTAGGTGGCCTTTAAAAGCTCTAAAACTGACAAAGAACTTGCCTCTGCCGATCACGGGAATGGCCTTCCCCTGGTAGTCCTTCAGACCGAACTAGCATCTCTGAAGCCGGGTAGTAGATAGGCTGGGGTGGAGTCTCTTGAGGGTGTTCCATGAGATTATTGAGAGCGCTGACCCTGTGTCAACCTCCATGTGGCACGGTTTACCTTCTAGGGAAACGGAGAGAGAAATTTTACTAACAGTGTGGCAAGTACGCCTGGCAAGGCGGTGCGTGCGACAGTTTAATACTTGCCTCTGTGGTCCCGAGTGCGAGAACGGGGGTCTGTGTGCAGCTCTTTGAGGGGCTTGGCAGACTCTCGCGATGTGCCCCCTCTTATGGCAGTTGTTGCAAGTGGCTCCTTTAAACTTGCAGGTGGCCCTTTGATGCGATCCCCCACAGGCTAGGCACAGTGTGATGTGCTTGGGTGGACCGGTGTATTCTTGTTTGGCCCCTACCTGCGACCGTCTGTCATTGGCGAGGCGGTGGACATCGTTTTCATCGTTGTGGGTTTCCTCCGCTTCCACCTCTTCGGAATGGACTGGGAACGATGCCAACTTGGCATTTGGGCCCTGAATTTCGGTGGCTGAGTTCGTTGCTAGCTCGGCTGCTAGGGCCTCCTCGACCGCTTGCGCGAGGTTGAGGTCTTTTTTTGCTAGCAGGCGCCTCTGTAGGTTGAGATCCTTGACCCCACAAACTAATTGATCGAGGAGCATGTCCTCCAGGTATGTTCCAAACCCGCAGTGCAGGGCTGCTGTTCTGAGGGCGGCCATATATTGATTGATGGTCTCCTTACTTGATTGCTTCCTCATACGGAACGTGAACCTCCTGGCGATTTGTGAAGGCCTGGGAGCGTAGTGGTTAGTGAGGATCTCAAGCAACTCGGACCACGGAACGTTTTTCAATTCTCTCGGCGCCACGAGTGCTGCGGCGGTATCGTAAACGGCGGCTCCGCAGTAGATTAGGAAATAGGATTTTTTCCGATGCTCTCCCGCATCCGCCAGGCCGACCGCATCGATGTAATGATTGAAGCGGTTCTTATACGATTCTCACTTCTCTTCGTCTGGTTTAAACGCCGGGAATACTGGGTTGGAACTCATGGTGCTGGAACGGCTGGGCTACCTGCGGAAAAATCTCTCTGGGACAACGGGCGCTCGTGAGTTACTAGTGATATCAGCTCTGGAGAGGTTTTTTTTGCTACCCTCTCTTTCTCTCTCTGGGTTACCACGTTGGCTGCTAGCCGTTGGAGGTGTCTTGATTCGCGCCAAAAGTGGGCGTTAGTGACTTCCTACAGCGCTGTGCTGTGTCTCCTACTGGCTCGAAATTCAAATGACACCCGTTTGAATTTCGCGCCAAATACAGAGCGGCTGCGGCTCGCAGCGCTTCACTTTCCCCGTAGCGGGGCTAACAAGCGGCTACAGACGCTTCTAACTTTTGAACCAGACCACTTTCTCTGGCTGCGGATCAGCGTTTGCTCTTTTTGATCGCTCGTTTTGTTGGCTGACCGCTCTCTCTGGCTGCGGATCAGCGTTTCCCTTATCGCCAGCCGATCGCTCTCTCTGGGCTGCGGATCGGTGGCTAGTGACTCAGCGGTTGCATGGTGCTTCTGGTAGCCATCCCACCCTCATCGCCAGTGTTAAGTTTGAGCAATGAGAGGCTGAACCAGAGCATGAGTGCAACAATACTTCATTTTACAATAAAGGGCTGACCGTGCTTGCCACGCCTGGAACTGGCTCGCAGCAATCAGCAACTGGTTGGACCCCGCAGCCTGCTTTTATAGCTGGCTGCTGGAGAGAACCAACCAATGGGAATGGGGGAATAACACCCACACAAAGTGAGTGGACCTGAGTGAGAACTCCTAGAGTTCTCAGGACATAACACTTACCTTCTCTTTTTAGAAGCACACATTTTGCATTTTTAGAAAAGGTATAAAAAGGGCAATCCAAGAATGATATATGGCTTTCTAGCATCCTGTTTTATGGTTTCATACAAGGTAAAAGCAGAATTCTGAGCTCCCTACTTTTGCATTTTTGGAGCAATGGGGTTAAATAGTCACAATGAAGGACTTATAGTAAGCTTTGCATATGTTTAAGAAAAGTGGTTCACGACGTACTGCACAGAATCTCAAACTCCTGGAACTCCTGGAAGTCATCCATTTTCAGTTAGAACATCTGTAACAATGTGTCAGCCTTTTGTAGTAGTATATACAGGAAACCAAAATCATGAGCAACAACACTACCTTTATTGTACGGCTATAGGACCAGAATCTTGGAAGTCTTAAAGCACTGGCCCTCTCCCTTGCCCTTACTTTCCAAACAACTGGGGAGAGTCCTTTTTGAGATGCTTTCTCCATCCCCATTCCTCCTGGAGGCTGAGATATCTCTTGTCAGACTATTGTCTAGGCCAAGGGTCTCCAACTATGGCCACTTTAAGCCTGGAGGAATTCAACTCTCAGAATTCCCCAGCCAGCTTTGGGAGTTGAAGTCCTCCAAGCTTAAAGTGGCCACAGTTGGAGATCCCTGGCCTAGGCTGCAGCTCTTTCTTCAGTCTCCCAAAGTTATTCTCAGAGTCCATTACAGAAAGAACTCTTGATTTTCATACCTGGGCACCAAAATGTATTTATTTGTTTGTTTGCTTTGTTTCTTCATTCATTCATTCATTCATTCATTCATTCATTCATTCATTCATTCAT